TTTTTAAGTCTTGAATTTTCAGTGGGAAAGGGGAAAAGTGGATGAAAAGAATGACGTATTAATCTGCGTCAAACGTGTAGAAAAATAATAGTAACATCGAAAAAGAGATTGTGAAAGACAAATAATTGTTTTCAAATCCTGTTTTGCGCAGGCGTTGCGTGGTAGGACGGATAAAAATTGTTCTGTTTTCGCGGAACGTATACATTATATATTCCCGACGTGGCGTATTATCGCCGCTATGGAAAACATCTGTTTTCGCTCGATACCAGTTATGTAGTCGCAATTATCTCCGTACTGTAATCGCGAGTGTAATGACGTAACCAGAGCGTGACTGACGCGGCCTTAAAGATGTTAAATATGTGTTTCCCCGCGATTTCCTTTTTCTTCTGCGTTCAGCATATTCTCAGCTGCAGTCTTCATTTTCTTAGTAATAATATCGGAACAATTCTGTAATTAAGTGAGGGAAGATTTCTTCTCGTGTAGAGCGTAGGCGTATATAAAAAAATTTTCAAATTCAGTTTTAATTACAGCCTAAACATAATTAACAATGCAAAAACAAAACATTCTGCGAATTGAGAATGCTTATTAAATATTATATATACAGATGTAAAACATATTTATTTTTATCTCTACATTGTAAAATAATTGACTAGTTTTCTTTTCTAAAGTATTGATGCAAATTTACATATTTATCTGGCTTTAAATGTATATTACGGATATTTTATCTGTTTTCGAGGAATATAGGCTCTCGTTTTAAATTCTCGCGTGTGAGGTGAACCGCAAAGCAATTCTTAAAAACCTGCATCCTAGATCCAGATCAGAGAGCTTCGTTCGAGCTCGAAAGAGCTATGCTAGCGCGAGCGGGGGAGAAAGGCGGTAATATATTGACACAGTCTGGATGACCAACTCGTTCCAGCTTCGAACGGTGAGCGATCATCTCGCATTCTCGGCTACTCGTCGCGAGTAGTGGGTCGAGTCGAGAAAAGGAAAAAGTGTCCGAAGAGAGGAAGGACGAAAGAGATAGCGGCATAAAAGCTCGATGAAGGGGGTGAGGGGAGAGAAAGGAGTCGAGAAGAAATATGTGAGAGAGGGTCCGAGGAGCAGCACTCGAAGGTGTCACTCGGCGCATTCACGAAAACCCAAAACATCCATTTTCGAGCGGCGCGGACAATGACGGACCCACTGACCGTACCGGGCCGCACAATGGAGAGTCAGGCCCAGCGCCGTGGCCGTGGCCCTTCGGTCCAGATCGAAGATAAATTTCGCATTTGTAGGAGATCGGGATCGCGCGCGCGCGCGCGCGCGCGCGCGAGACCGACGCATGAAAGAAAGTGGGAGGGCCCGTACTCCGGATCGACCGATTTTCTCGTACGCGGAATATGTCACAATGACCGGTTGAAACTCTCTTTATGTCGATAATTGTCGCGTTAGTCGAACGACAATCGCTCGGGACATTCCCGAGAGGCGCCCGAGCGCCGATTTCACGAGATAAATGACGAACGAATGGGACTGGCGGGAGGGGCAGAAGGGGACGCCACATCGAATCGAGCATCGGTCGTAAGTGGTGCAGCGGATCGTTTATGCACCTGGACATGATCTGGCCGCGGTATCGCGATCGTTATGTGGCTACTCGCGCGATCGCGCGGTCAAATATTATTTCGAGCCGGCGATACGAGCGAGCGCGCGTTGTAAAGGCGCGCGGGTATAATGTGCTCGCGGGTGTAGACGTGTGCGCGCACGACTTTATGATAATATTTTCTTTCGAAATAGAGGCTACTTACGATGCACTTGCCTCGTCGTGTGTGGCCCGCGTCTGCCGTGAACGCGAGCGTTCTCTCCGTATGGAAAAAGGAGGAGAGACAACCCGCGCGAGAAGATGGTACTCGCCGACCGTGCGGATTCGTTGGCGCGATCGAAAATCTCGTAAAGGTATATCGCAAATACATTACGCCTAGAGATCATTTCCATTTGATGTTTAATTCGGCTTCCTTGAGAATGCTCCGTCGGAATGCGTTGCGCCGCTTGGGACTTAACATGCGAAAAGTTATCTCGATTTACGGCAATTGTATAGAAATCTCCTCGTTCCATCCGAAAGTGCGATCCAATCAGTGAATTTTCGCTCCGGCTCTCATTATGTGGGAAATCGTGGCAAATCGTTCTTCGTTTTCCTGAAAACATATAACAAATTCCTTCACTTGGCTGTCGACATCGCGCGAAATCCAAGATGTCAGTGGCGCGAGCGAGATGCGAACGACGAGCGAAGAGCGCTCGAAAGATTGAGAAAGAAAAGAAAAAAAAATCAGTCAGTCAGTCAGTCAGTCAGTCAATCAGTCAATCAGTCAGTCAGTCAGTCAGTCAGATGTTGTACGCGTTAACCTCAGCGCGGAATAATCCGTACGTGTAACTCCGCGCATACCAT